CCCTGGTTGCAGCGGCAGGTGGCCCCCCGCGCTGCAGCCTCATCTTCGCACTCGCCACCGTAGTCGCCAATCACGAGGTCGTCGATTACATACCGGCGTTGTTTGAAGAGAGACGCCATGAACGACTTGCGGTCCCTCACCCCTTTTACCAGTTCCTCAGCGCCTGCGCCAGCACCTCGCCGGCAATCCACCCATCAACCATCATCTCGCCGTCATCGTCATTGTTGAGGAAATGCTCCGTGTCCTTGTAGTCCCTCTGCCCGCTGTTCTTCAGGTACTCCCGCATCACCGCCTGGAAGCGACGGATGGCGTCGTAACTTGCGTCCTTCGCCAGCGGGTTCGTCCCCGTCGCGATCACCTGCCCGGGCACAAACTTCGCACCACCACCCACGGCAGCACGCCAAGCTTGCAAAACAAATGGCTGAAACATAAAGGGGGTCAGCAGGTACGCGCCGGCGGTGCGCTCGTCCTCCAGCATCCTCTTAATGAATTGCGCGGTGCTTGCCGTCGGCGCGCCAAACATAATCACAGCCTGCGGCTGAGTCGCAACAAATTGCTCCCACTCATCGTCGAACTCTTTGGAGTTGGCCTCACCAGTCGAGACGGGTTTCACGGCGAAGACGTAGCAGAACTCGTAGCCCATCCCCGACAGCACACGCTGTGCCTGCCCATAGTCCGTTTCATCGAAGTATTCATCCAGCAGGTACATGAAGCCAAGCCGAAGCACCCGCAGCTGAGTCACGGCGTAGCGGATAATTGCCTGCAGCTCGGACACAGGGCTGACGCGCACAAAGTACACGTTGGGGTTCCACCCACGCAGGAAGTTCGACCCAGTGAACGGGGCAAAAGAGACGAGGTCAAAGCTAGGCAAGACTGAAAGCACCTTTCCCAAGTACGTATCACCGAACTCTGCCAGAAGAGTGAGAATGTCCTGTTCCTTCTGCATCACGTCCTCCAGAACGGTGGCGACTCCCGCCCCGTCTGATTCCCGCTCAACAAGTTCAGTAAGAACGTCGCCCGCAGCCGTGGAGTTGTGCGCCCTCAGCGAGGCGTGCACGCCGGCGTAAAAAGCATTAGACATAAAGCTGAATGGGCCAAGATCATTTCGCTTAAGCAGCAGCACCTTCACTGGGGTGTCAGGAGCTGCTGCGGACTGGGCGGCTGCGCTGTGCGGGGGCAACAGAGACAGCAGCAGCAGAAATACGACGAGGAGAAGGAGGTACGGCGACGCCGCAAAGGGCCGCGAGCCCAACTGCGCACAGCGACCACGCTGCCCCCAATCCGCCCCCATAACTGCTGCCTTGCGCTTGTCTTGCTGTGCAGCCTGTAAATTACTGCCGCAGGGAGAGAAAGAGGAGGGCACGGTGCACAGGAGGCAGTAGAGAAGAGTATAGAGCACCAGCGGAACTATATATTCACACGTGAGGCCGCCACCGCGCCTGGCGCACAAGGAAGCGGCGAACGCAGTAGAGACAAAACTACTAGGCAAATGGACCTCTGGGGAACAAAGCGACGACAGCGGCCGTCCTCCTCCATTGGCAGATGCCAAACAGAGCACGTACTGCCACACGCCACGCACGCGTTCGCCATGGCAATCGTCCGTGAAAAGCCGTGCTTGTGAAGCACACCTCACACGACTGCGGAAGTTCACACATCCGCGTGTGCTGTTGCCCTGCGGCTCCCTCCAGCTCGCGGTCTTACCTTACATTTATTTCGCCATCACAGCCTGGAAGCGCTGGAACGTCTCACACCGTGAGCGTCCTCCGACAGCGGGTTCCTTCCGCTGAGACCACCTGTCTGGAGAAAAGCGTAGCAACACGCGCCACGGCAGCACCCCTCGCGTGCGGCTGCTGAGCTGGAGAAGGGGCGTTGTCGTATGCCCTGTCATTGGC